GTGGTGGCCTTGGAGGTGTGTGGTGATGTCCGACGGCGGCTACCTCTTGAAACGCACAACCCACAAGTACAGGGGATCAAACGTAGTTCGTTCGGTATGTAAGAGTGTCGAACCCAGTGAGGAGCAGAAGGAATCGATAAGTGGTTTTCAGCAAGGTGGTCTCTGCAAGCGCTGTAAGATAGTTTTGATACATAGTTTGGTAACAAAATAATTGGTAACAAGTAACAAGTAACCAAAGTAATAAAGTGCAAAAAGGTGACCCAATCCTTAATGTTGCTAAGGACAAGCCGGTGATACTTTCTTATAGTGATAAAAACACTCTTGAGGACACACAGGAATTTTGTCTAGTTACTTTCACCATGATTTATCGACTTGCGTCCATTGCCTTGATAAGTTGTTATGTGGTGGACTACAACTAAGGTCATGTTCTTACTTGAAAAAAAAACAACTTATGATTAAACCCTCAATGCAAGCATATGCAAATACAAGAGAAGTAATTAAGATAAATCTAACCATAGTATGAAACATATGGATCCAAAACAACCGCTTATGGAACAATTCATAAACTGGGGTTTAGGTTTCAATCACTCCCGCAACCAATCATCTACAAACTAATTCCACAATGCCGTACCTAGGCCCAAAAATGGTGAAGTGTCATGTAGTTAACGTTCACACGACACCACTAGAGGAAGAACAACATAACATATCATCAAAACATTGAACGGTTATCAACTTGACATGATTACTAATAACAAGACTTCTATCATGTCCTCAAGAACAAAAAAAACTACTGACAAATCATAAGTATGTTCATGATCAGAGAATATATATGTGTTTAACAATCTAAACATATAATCTTCCACCAAGTAAACCAACTAGCATCAACTGCAAAATGTAATCAACACTACTAGCACCCCCACATACTAATTTGAGGTTTGATACAAAGATTGGGCACAAGAGATGAACTAGGGTTTGGAGATGAGATGGTGTTGATGAAGATGTTGATGGAGATCAAGCCTCCCACAATGAGAGGAATGTTGGTGATCATGATGGCTTTGATTTCCCCTCCCAGAGAGAAGTATTCATGGCAGAATTGCTATGCTGGGAGCAAAAATGCACCACCTCTAGTTCCGCCTCGAGACAGTGGCGGTTGGTCCCGAAAGTTTTCTCTTATTTTTTTCTAGGGTAAATGGCTTCATATAGAAGAACATGGACAACAGTAGGCCTCTGTGATCCCCACATCCACCTGCGCACACCCTGGGGAGGGGGGGTAGGGCGCGCCCTCTTCACTTGTGGGCCCACCTAGGGTCTTCTCCAGTACTTCTTTCTT